ATTTTTCACTTTTCCAATTCTCCACTGTCTACACATTGTTGCAGAAGACGCATACTTCTGACCTTAAGACTTTCTGTCGGGTCCCTTGTTATACTCTTAAATGTTGTATCATCATCTAATGGCTCTAAAATTTTCTATAGATAATCAGTCTTAATCATAACTACTATTGCTCCTCCTTTATCTACCCTTAATACTAGTTGATCGTCGAATAGACTATTAATTAATAATTGACTTAACTGTCCTATTTTTATATGGTGTTTCTACATGATTATCAATAAGAAGGACAACTTGTAGTTCAATATCACTCTTCATATCCTCTGGGAAACTATCCGTTAGACTTATCGATTCTACAAAACTTTTCTCTTTGAAGTAATTACCATCTAAAAAGGCAAATATTTTAGTAGAAATGTCAAATGAAGTTTTGGACAGATTTACCACTTTTTGGCAACTGCTATTCTCACACTTCAATTCATTAGATGTGGGTCGTTTCCTTAAGCTATTCCTTATATCCAAATTTATTAATTTTTTTTCATTTGTATTCCTTACCAGTTGGAAAATCTTATTATCTAAACTATCCGCCATTCTCTGGAGTTTTAGGAAGTCTTCCGAACAAAGAGCATCTTCCAAAATTTGCCTAGGTCTAATCTTAGTTGTGATTAAGGAATATAACTTTTCAATGTTTACATTCAGTCACTCACTGTAGTAACCACAAAACTTGAGATTAATTATATATAATTTTGTTACTTGATAAAAATATACTAATGAACCTACACAAGTGATTTTGGCCTGTTTATATAGGAACTTTGCGACAAATATTAAGACTTTACTTACTTTGGCCTGTTCTAGAAAAGCGCCCTGCCCAGCCTTTACGTTTTCTGACTTCCCTTTCCAAGCATCTAGCACAGAAGCCTGAAGGGCACGACCGAAGCTAAAAGTCAACGCCCAAGGTCGGCGAAGAGCAACACGGTTGATTGCATTCAAATTAAGAGCAGCCTCCTCCTCAGATTGTCCTCCAGAGAGAAAAGTAATTCCAGGAACGGCAGCAGGGACTGTTCGAAGCAAAGTCTGGACAGTAGCGTATGCAATCTAAAGAGGTAATTAGGGATAATTGTGAATCCCACAAATATTCACCTAGTCACTAATAGTAGAGCTATGATAACAATCGAGGTATGATTGTTGCAATAAAACAATTTTTCCAGAGATAGGCAAAGCTGAGTAAAAATGTAGATAAGTCAACCACTTTCCAAAACGAAAAAAGAATCCAGGAAGAGGATAGAATAAAATTTAAAGTGATTTGGTGGGATATTAAAAGAAACATCTCCACAATTACCGAGCAGACAACTCAGCCAAGAGTTAATAATGAGACGGGAAATGGCAAAATGCTATATTAATAGGCACATAAGCGAAATAGATTCTTATGCATCAAATGTGAAATAAAATGTCTTAATTGAAGTGAATTAAACAATAATAATACACAATACCGAATAAAAAAAACCGAAAATGATTGTGCATAAAGAAGGATATGCCTTGAAGAATTAACGGATGATCTTGTTTATAAGACAAGTCTTTTTACTGGGGGTTTTATCCAAAAATGTTTTAAATGAGTGGCTTACGAATTTAAATAGATATGTCAGATCTAAGGACTTATATCAAATTGTTTTTTTCCGTCTATTCATTTGTGTCTGTATGACAGACAATGGATTTTAAAAATTAGGGTTATTAGAAGTAATTTAATTAACAAAGTGTAAATAAAATGCGATTTATTAAAAAATACCTGGAACAGACAAAAATGAACGACGTAATACCTGTAGATTTAGTTCTAGAGTTTTCCTCAGGGACTGAAAATGCAAGTTTCTTAGTTCTAGCAAAACGATTATTTATTCTAAGGCATTTTTTATGTTTAAAAATTATAGGCACAAAATATCGTTATAAATTCTTTTTTATACTACATAAGTAAGCATGCCTTTACCTCCTCAACTGAAGCCTTAAATGGACAGGATTGACCAGGTGCCACCATATTAGGCTTGAGTAAGGTGCCCTCGAGATAAACGTGGTGGTCAGACAGTGCCTTGTAAGTGCATGCAAGTACCTTTTCCGTAGCGTACTGAGCCTCTGCAAGAGTATGGTCACCATCTGGGAGGACTTCTGGTTCGACAATCGGCACAAGACCATTCTATGTAATAGAGTTAAAGAAATCTTTGTAATAATTAAAGTAACGTTCTTTTTAAACGGAAAGCAAGCAAGCTTTTTATCGTCCCGCTTTTGAGGGCAATGCCCTGGTTTCGGAAAGTAGAGAGGGTGAATTGCGACTTAACAGAGAGTACTAAGTACCATAAAATATCCTTAAAAATATACATTATTTCAATGGAATCATGGTGGCTGTCTATATGACAGGCCAACTAGTATTTCAGAATCGCCACTAATTTCTTGAGAAGTGTGTCGAGGAAAAAGGCCAAAAAATTTGTGTTAGGCATATAACTGTGGCATTAGTTCTGGAAAAACCCGAATGTTCATATCATCTAGCCTCAATCTCGTTATATATATATATATATATATATATATAGAGAGAGAGAGAGAGAGAGAGACGAGACCTGAACTTTAATGATGCAGTGTATAATCTAGACACGTCAAGCACTACGCTACACCATGTAGAAAACAGGTTTTCGAAGAATCTTTTAATAGACTTATGCTGGAGTACCTTTCATTTCGTTTAAGAAGGCATGTGACGGATTCGTAAGTTGGCTTCACCGGAACCTGTAGAGGGATTGACTTCGAGCCGTAACTTTAAATTTGTGCGAATAGATCCTCCGCGCACCGCCCTTCGACGCCTATTAATCCCTGCTGAGCTTTCGTCTGTAATTTGACGGACATGTTCAGATCAGGACGCTATGCTCTACTATAATTCACTAAACACAAAAACAATCCTACCTATTGAAGTGGGTTGACCTCGTTGTCGCAACTTGGTCTTGTGTTCAGGGAGACTATGTAGAACGCACCG